GGTGGCTGAATTTTACGGAGACTTGCCACGGTCTCCAACCGTCCTCCTTTCTCATCCGGGCTTGGGACCGACCATGGCGGAGTTCATATTTCATGAGAAAAACAATATTTTAAATTTTTTAAATCATGACTAATTCTGACAACAGATTTTCATTGTTTCATGTTGCTTGCAGCCTTTTATTTATCAGAAAGCTGAAATTGGTAGTATGCTTGTTATCTTAGTTTTTTGCATGAAGCTTTTGCACTCCCATTGACCTCATGGATCCTTTTGAATTTCTTGACTAGCAGCGAGCTACGCACTGCAGAACTCAGTTATTAAAAGATAGAAAAATGTTTTAAAATAATTTTTTGTTGATAAATTGCCTTAATGTTTCATCAGTAGTTTAACAGAGCGGGTTGTTTGATAGTTATTGCCTTAAGGGAAGCTTTGCGGACATTCGTGAGAAAAGCCAACGCTCGTCGAAGGTTAAGAAGTTGAATCGTCATACGAACTCCAAGAAACGCCGACTTTCTCATCCGGCATCGAAAGGTATGCCGAAGCATGGCCACTCCGGTTTGGAGAATTCCCGGACACGTGCCAGTTCGAGGAAGCTCCATGAATTTATGATGGAAGCTGGCGTGGAGAACCCAGGTACAAACGACAATCCAAAAACCGCACGTCAGTGTTACGGTCCTCAGTGCGTGTACGCCGCGCGGCCAGGCTCAAACTATTGCTCAGACGAATGCGGCATGAAGTTGGCACGCAAGTATGAATGCGTGTCAGATTGTGCATCTGATCCCCTGTATCCCCTGTTGGTCATTGAGTCAATTTAAGGCGTATCTTGGAAATTTTACCTGGCCGGATTCAGAGCTGGAACATCAATCCGTCGGTAGCAGAACGTTTCGAGCGTCGAAGACTGGAAGTGGTGTGCGAGAAAGCGGAAGAAGCCAGGAAGCGCTTGGCGTCGTTGGACTTTGAAGAAAAGCGTCTTTCTGAATGGATTAATGAAGCAGCTAAGTTGAAGGCAAATCCGGATGATGAAGCGAATGATAAAGTAAGTGCTGCTGAAGTGTCTGCTGATTAAACGATAGCTTACTTTCACCTACACTTGCTTATTGCACTTATGTTTATATCACCGCTTCTCCTTTCGGCGGCATCTCTTGATGGGAGCATCTGTAGCGGAGTGTCGTTAAGTCAGACGATACGATTGTCAAATTATCAAATCGATCATCGACTTCTGTGCAGAAGCGTCCCTGTAGCACGTATACTGATGCACGTTTCAGTGCTCGAAGGTGTTCATGACAGACAGTTTGCTGTTTGCACAAAACCGCAGCAGCTTCATGCCGTTATTGTTGGAATCGGTGGTTACGTTCTTTCGAATGATGCCTTCTCCACTGTTCGGTATCTACATCAGTCGAAGGATTCCCACTTTTCCGTTAATAAGCTTCCATTCAGTGATTCTGTCAACCAGCGTCGGTTCTACGAAAACACCAAATTGGCTTTAGGGTGGGTAATAGAGTCAACACGTACATTGCCTATCCGCAGAGTAAACGGTCTCCTTCAGCAATGTGGTTTTATGTGAAAATGACTGCCATGCGTCAGGTTTCTTGTGTCTAGAACTACTGTGGAAATCTATTGAAAGAAGATACAACAGTGAGATGCGTTTCACAAATCATTGTTTACTCTATTGAAGATGTTTATTATTATTGTCACGAGGACACTCCTCAAAAACCGAATTTCACGGCTTGTTGCTTCCGTCGTTTCGTATTCATTCCTTATTTCTAGTTATTTGAGGAACGTTTGTGTGTTTGGGGGGGGGGCAGTTTAGCAGGCCACCACTACATGATGTTTGAGCTTCGACATAGCTCGATTCATCTCACATAGTTATATTCGTTATACGAATGTTTTGCTCATCACGACGTTTCGGGAATCGGTATTTTTTATTCGCATATCGCATAAACATAATATTTGACTCAGTTGTGTATCTGAATATTTGATCCATTTATAGTGTCATTCGAATGGCGACAGTGAAACGGAAGACGCTGAGATCAATATATATTGCGTATCCTGTGGCCATGAAGTCAACGCGCGTTCCGCGATCAAGCACATGTCCAAATGTTTTGCGAGGGTACTTCGTTTTATTTTTTGATACTTAGGTTTTAGATTATTTACCTGTGAATTTTTAGTGTGAAAATCAAACTTCTTACGGAACTACTTTTCGGGCGACTAACACGGTTTATAACTTGTTCTGCGAAGCATACAATAAATCGAATGGGACGTACTGTAAACGTCTGCGAATCATTTGTCCTGAGCATTGCAAGGATGTCAAAGCGGATCCGGACGAAATCTGCGGCTGTCCGTTGAATCTGAACGACACCCTTGAAAAGTTTTCCGTTAGTGCCTCCTGTCAAGTAGCTAAAAGAAACTGCACGAAACATTGTCAGTGGGAGAAAATACGGCGTGGACTCATAGATCAGGACCGTCTGACGCAGCTGTTGCGACTGGACGAACTTTATGAGGAAGAGCGCTTCTTGAAAGCTTCTATTTGCTCAAGGGGTAATCTTATGTCGCTGCTTCTTCATCAGACCACGCAGCATGAACAGACGGACATGGAGATGCCGATAGGAGATAATGCATAGGCTTAAAAAACTGACTGTAAGTAACTTGACTAGTTGTGACAAGCAATTTGCATCTGTTTTCGATCGGCATCTGCTGATATTTGTGGCTCTTTCCGTAATAGTGTCGTCAGACAACCGAACATTGTTTGTTTGGTTCAGGTGGAGTTAAAACTCGGCCCAGCGTTATGATTTCACGAATTATCGTCAAAGGAATTGCCTTGGAACAGTACAGTTCTATTAGTCGCTGGAAAGAGCATGCAGACTCATACTGTCGTTGTCTCGGACAGCTAACGGCGTTGGGCCTTGGTAGCGTAAACAAAGTTCAGACGTTCCATTTCTTTGCGCGTGTAAGTCCTTGCATTGATCTCAATTTATGCTGATTGTTTACTATTGTTTACTATTTTTCACAAAATCCCATGCTTCTTTGCATGTTTAATATCTCTCACGACCTATGTACCGAGAATGTTAATATATTGATGCAAAATACTGCTAAAGCTATTGACATTCTGATGTAATCGCGGATGAATTTTTGTTGATTATGATCTGTTGCGTCTTGTGCTATAAAACTTATTATAATTTATGTATTGGAGTCAAAGACCAAAATAAAACATTATCATTTGTAATTAACATGTGAAATTGTGTTCGGGCATATGATCGGAACGTCATGAATAGTATTAGTTAAAATCACAGACAAGTGGGAAAGTTAACGTGCTAAAAAATGTCTGTAAATTGTGTTTCATTAAATGCGTCACTGCGATGCCCAGTCTAGGCCTAAAAGTACGTGGGGAGTAGTGAATGTAGTTTGCTTTGTATTCGTCCCGCGTTTGATCCACAAAACTCGGTTATAGCCCAATCACAGTCTGGTCGCCTGAGCATTAGAACTGTACGATATACTGGAACCTGTGAGTAGAAGGAAGCAGTTAAATTGCTGTGATGCAGTCGGAGCATGATTTGACTGATTTAACAGAATAACGGCATACGCCATATAGAATTTAGTTACTAAGAAGTTGTTCCGCAACACGTGTTGCTCATTGGATGAGACGAAATTCCTGTGTGAAAGTCTGTCTTGCATTGCCAAGCTTATTTGCTTAAAAGTCGCCAAGGCAAGAGACAACACGGCATTTCAGAAAATACGATCATAATGTTTTATACATATTTGGCTTATTTGCAAATTTTTTTGTCCATTGTCGATTTGCTTTGTATACTTTATTTTTTTTTGCGTGCCTGATATGTTTACTGTCGATTCTTGCCCTGTGAAAGACCCGTCGTTAAGTAGTCGTTGTGCCGAGCTGTAGAATCAAGTTACCGTTCGCTTCTCGACGTTACCATTCGTAGAAGAACATTGACAGCATGCAGTAGTAAATGAGTAGGTAAGTGAACAAGCAAATAAGTTATTAAATAAGTGAGTGAATGCGTAAATGAATGAGTGAGCAAGTGTGTGACTGAGTTAAGTAGCATGGATGTCGTTGGGCGAATGATGGCATCGCTTTCATGAGACCAGGTTAACCCCGTGCGCATTAAGTGACAGTACGTGTCATTCCTCGTGTGTTTAAATGTCCACGGCTGTACATCTTTTCAAGACAAGACGAGGTAGAAGAGGTTGATGGTAAACCGCTGCGAAAAGATGCTTTGCAAAAAACCTGCGTTTGTCGGCTATAATTTCCAACAACTGCTGAGCCGTTGCGCCTGAACTCGAAAAACTAAGTTCCCTCATGTCGATGTCGCTTTTCAACAACACTTGCATCATTCCGCTGCAGGAAATTTGACTGCGAGGTAGTGACGACAGCTTTCTGAATATGAAAGATCTACTATCATTTTAGCCACCAGGGAAGTGGCGTGGCGACGACATTATTTGCTGGATCTATTCGATGTGGCGTGTCAGCAGTTGCGAACGATTCAGTTCTGTGCCTCTTTTTCATGTGCAAATGTTTTTTCCCCTGTTTTTGTATGAGATGGATACTTGTGGTGTTCCTTAGGGACACTTGAGTAAAACTGATGAGTGAATGAGTAAGTTTCTTATTAACTGAATAGCTAAGTAGAGAAGTAACTGAACGAGTAGGTATCTAAATAAGTGAATGAGTGAGTAAGTAGGCAAGTAAATAAGTAATTAGGTAAGTGAGGAAGTAGTAAAAATATGAACGATTGAATAAGCAACAGAACAGATGAGTTTATGATTAAGTTAACAAGTATATGAGTGAAAGCAAGTAAGTAACTGAGTAAATAAGTAAGCAATTAGTTAAATGAGCTGATGAGTAGGTTAGTAGCTAAATATGTTCGTAAAGACGTGAGTGAATCAGTAAGGCAGTAAATATGGTACGTAATTAAGTTAGCGAGTGAGTGTGTTAGTGAGTAGATATATAATTGAAAAGCAAGTACGCACGTTAGTCCATTAGTTAGTTTGTAATCAAATGATCGAATGAGTAAGTCATTAAGGACATAATTAAGTAAGTGTATGGCCTGTATATAAAAGAGTTACTAATTGACTTTAATGAGTAAATAAATGAATGAACAAGTAAATAATTTAGCAACTAAGGAAGCAAGTAAGAGTAAGATAAATAAGAACTACTGTCTGTGAAATTGACAGTTAGTTTTTTGACTACTGTATATACAGAAACAAAATGAAAGCAATATAGATAAAAAATGTCTCCAGAACACAAACTACAATGAAATTAAGCAAAGAACGTAATGAAGTAATCGGTATATGAGCTCTCAAACGCTAGTCACAAGAACATCACAAAAGTTTTCTGAGGCGCTCTTACCTTTTCCAACCGGTTCGCTGAAAACCGTTTTGACGATGTCTCCTTCAGGTCATGCAACATTCGGGAAGATTCATATTGTCATAATGTGAACTTGCAATCATGGTCTCTCATAGCATTTTGCAGTCTACTACTAGATTATTAACAGAGCGCCGTTTAGGAGTGACTCCGTCATGTCATCCAATGGCCCAATCTTAAGACGAAGAATTGCAGCACATATTTCAGCAGCGATTAAGACATTTTCGGACAGCGCAACTCTCTCCAGAGGCGTGGAAAATCATGCTCAGAACGAAGTTCGTGTCTTGGAAGGTAGATGTGTTTCACCTTATGCTGGTCTCTCTGTGCGGATGGCATCAGAGAGGTTGGAGTATTTGACCATTGGTACCTTAGTACCCCCAGTCAGTTGTACAACTCAGACATCCGTAGCTCTTTGCCCATGTTGCCGCAATTTCAGCTATCATCCAAGGATGTCTGCTGCACTGACTTGTCCTTTGGCGACCTTCTAAAGGGACACACATAAAACCTTGCAGGCGGTTTACCATCTTGGACGACATCACACTGGAGAGGATGTCAAATCAAAATAGGATGGGTGCAGTTACACCTTACCGATGAATGACATTTCGACCAATGACGTATGAATTATTAAGGTATTCCGCAGGATGGCTATCGTTGGCGACGAACCTGGTTCTCCACCTTCCCTTCTGGTAGACGGAAAGAATAGGCAAAGTCAGCGGAGTCGGCTAACCAGTCATATCGACATCCTTAACGAATAAACAAGAAGGTTTTTAGCATGATAGGAACGGCCTGTTTAGACAACTGACCGTCATGCAAAATGACCATTAGTTTCCGGCGACGGTGGAACAACACGTACTTAAATACTGAAACCGATAAAGATTATGCTGAACCGTCGTTTGGTGGACTTCTATGTAAAATCTGGACGATGAAGATCTATATGCAAATTACTGCCACATTGAAATATGGCAAGTTTTTGAGTTACAGGTTTAGGTAGTCATGTGATGGTCGACTGCAAATGCGTGACTTTTAAAAAGAGTCACAAAGTTTCGTTTTAATATCATCACAGACAACAAGAACATCGGGTGGTCCAAAGACGTTCTCGTCAGTGCGTTACAGAAGGAAGCCGTAGTGTGAATGCCCTCATTCTGCTCTCGATGCTCAGCCATTACCACCTTCAACGTTGCCCAGAACATTTGCTGTGATGCGTAACTTGATTCTGCCACAAATTTGCATAACGAACCTTGTCGCACACTTTTTGGCAGCACGTTTCAGTGTATCGTGCATACATGTGAACGGCAGTCCGTTTTGTAGTAGTAGGTGGCTACAACGTTGATGGCACTGGACGGTCGCAAAGTTGTATCATCACGTGGTCAGAACCAGGAATAATACAGACCTTGAATTGGCGTATCCAAGGCTGAGTAGCAGAGAACCATCGACATAATCTGTGGTCCTCCACGTGGCATGTCACCGTGGTACCCACGGTTATCTACTGGCTTAAAGTGAACTGCAGAAGCATCGCTAAGCAGGTAATTTGCAGTGGGGGTGGCATTTGTTTTCTTCAATTTATTTTCATTTATTTATTCCTATTTTAAATTGTGTTGCATATATTTGTTGCATTTATCACCGTGAGCCGTCTGTATAAAGGCAATTGTTTTTTTAAAATGTTTTTAACACTTTTGCTATTTGGCATGGGTTACTGCTTTGTAAAAAGAAATATTCCTCTCCAAAAGTCGATCTATGCCTATGTTGCTCCTCATTGGCGAAAGTCCTCTGACTTGTTCCTTAATTGTTGCGATGGTGACAGGTTTCGTTTCTTCACCGCCCCGCCTATCTTAATTTTCCTCGAAACTTAGGGCTATGTTTAAAAGGCGTTCTATTTTTCATTAACCTCGTGCGGCATTCATTATGCTGCAGGCCGTACAGACATTGCTATATGCAATTTATGTTCCAGCGGGTGGCCATGGCGCCACGTCCACCTCAGGAACAGCAGCTTCGTCTCGAGGTGGAAGTTGCTATTTCACGTAAAAAACGATTTTTTCCACCTTTGGTACCTGCAATAAAGATAGCTTATTTCCTTCTGTCAAGAAACTATTTCGATTTTGTGTCAGAAAAAAACTTACATATGCAGCTGCAACAGTGAACTGCTAGTGGATTCGCAGCGCCAACTAATGAAACTGATGAAGCAGCTGAAATCTCAGGTTCACAAGGAAATTTTTTTTCCGGCACATTATGTCGAGGAATATTGTTAATAGCACAATTTTTTCACTATTTATTTTTTCAATTTCAAAAGTGCTATGCTTTAATTCGCCGGAGCAGCTGCTTCAGGATACCTTTGTAATGGCTCTGACCAGACGCTAAGGATAAACTAAATTAACTGCATTTCAAGGCTCGATAATTCCAGTTCTTCTATAGAATGAAGGTATCGGGTCTGCAGCCTGTCTCTTAGCCGTTTTCCTTTGCCACTTTATCGCGAGAGTTCGGCATCCGGCTCTCTCCAAATCACACGATCAATCCATTGCCATTGCAGCTATGATCTCTCATCCTGGTTAAAGAACGGCTCAAAAATACCGGCTTCTCAAAATGTCGTTTTCCATGCCTTTCTGAGTCTTATCGCACGAGCCGATTTTCGAAGTAACGCCATTTCTGCCGTTCGCATCTGTTGTCGCACTACTTTTTAGCAACCTGGAATATAACTCACCATGGCGTTTCGTGTTTTACCGACGTCGTAACGTTGTACGAATAACGATAGCCATTATGTAATAAAGTTAGCTGAGACAATATCGCTTATCAGTGAGGAAAAATGACTCGAGAAAAAAAAACTGCTTGAAAGTGAAATAAACTATCTTCATCAATTCCGATGGATAAGACTATTGAAAACAGCATTCATCGATTAGTGCTGTTCATCCAGTAGTTATTTAGACGACACGATCTGAAATATCACCCTATTTTCTAGACTGAAACTTAAACGTTGGTCAGTGAATTAAAAAGCGAGGAAACCGATCAGTTTACGATGAATATGATACATACCCATATTGCCTACGCCATAAATATTTTATCGCATCAATGCTTAAGAACCATGTTTCGTTTTAGGGTCATGCTCATGAAGGATATCGTAATATCTCTTACTGAATGTGATTCCATATCGTTGAAGGTCGCTAATTAAAGCTGTAAGTCATTCTAGTGTTTGCATATTCTATTCATACACAAAAATTGTAGTGCTCGGTTAAGAGTCTTGCCGGATTCTGCTAGCAAGCGTTGCATACACCTGACGTCTTGCTGAACTCTTTCGAGGTGGCGTTGCGTGATGTCATTGCTAGATCAGTAGCGGACTCATGTTTCGGATGCGTGTCCTTATACATGTCGATTTTTCAAGCTCTTCCAAACTTCCAACGAAATACAACTTCACTTAATGATTTATTTTGCCCGTGACTCATCATATGTTTAAAATCGATAGATTAACGTAGAAATGGAAAATTTGGCCATCTGCAATGCTTCATACTCCAAACCTACTGAAAAACATGTAACTAGGGGACCTGTTGAGAAGCAACTAAAGTTTTTGTTTTTGTTTTTTTCGTTGTTAACAAAAATGCTTTCAAACTTGGGGTAATTTATCAGATGTCGACTTAATTTGGGTATTGGTCAGTCTTAAATCTGAATTTATTCGCTAGCGATGTGGTCGAAAGACTGCAGACAGAGAAACGGGATCTTTCTTCAATGCTGCTCAGGTTTAAGAACGGCCGGAGGTCAAAATCTGGTGAACGTCGCAGCGGCGGGCTCAACTGTCGAAATTCGAAAACACCGTTTAGGGCCCCGACGGCCATTTTCAGCCCCGTGGTGAACAACCGACAACCGTTACCGGTTCGACCGGAAACGCTGTGCTGTGACTTGTTTGCAGCGGCCGTAAGCGATCGACGCTAATGCAGTGATTGGACGAAAGCACTGTAAGTTTCAGGTTGTCACTGTCGACTACCACGTATTTGACACAAGTTGTTTTACGAGCGATCAATCACTCTTTTCGCCACGAAACGGGTATCGGTACGCTTTTAAACGGGTGCTGTCCGTTCAGAGTCAATAGTCACGCAACCCGTCTCGAGCGACAGTCACATCGCTTCCCGAACAGCCTGAACCAACCACAGCTACGTCGGTCGAAACAGAGGGATATATTAGAGATTCTCTCTCCTGTGAGGTATGTGCTAACTTACCTAAGCTAAGGCGTAAACCACAAACCTGTACTTGGCTTCGCTTTCGTAACTCTCGTTTTTTAGGTTTTGACAGGATTTAAACTGTTTTTTCTTAGCAGCTGATGATACTCTGATTGTCGTAGAGTTCCGAGGAGAATACTCCAAGGGTTAAGGTGCGTCAGCATCAAAGCTGGCTTAAAATTACTCGAAAAAGATCCATATTTAACAAGCACGTGTTTTTAAAAATTTTGGTAATTCAACCTAGAACGCACGAAACTTATGATCTAAGCCAGGTCTACGAATGGTATGTAAAACTTTGTTAGTTGCCAGTTCGGAAATGCTTCTATACTAGAAACTGTTCTTGCATTTGGAAAAATAGGTGTTCAGTCAGTCTTGCCTTCTATAGTGAGGTAACCATAGACACGAAGGCTGTATCTAACTACAGACTTCGGAAGGCAGCATGGAAAGGTGCACGTTGGAAATGACAAGACAGACGAAGTGGACGATACGAACGGATCAGCGCTTATGAACTGTCGGCAATTTCAGCAAGAAGAACAGGCTATGGCATCATGCATGAGTTGCAAGAAGCAACCAACTATTAAGAGAAAGGGGTCCAACTCGATTGCAAGACAAAATCAAGACGTTTCGTAGAACAGCCTTGGTAATATGTACGCAGAGGGCAAGACTAAGGTTTCGTCGCAGAGTCATGGAGAAGTTTTCATCCTGCTGTAGATCGAAAATGGCTGATAACGATGATAAAGTGTTAAAGTATTTGAGAAACCTTGGTATGATATATTTATCATAACTTGAAGCTAGGACTCCTCACATTGGTGGACTACTTAGATTGTTATAGGATGCTGATTGAGCTTTGAATGCGTTTATCTGTCTTTCAACTGCCCCATATGCGAAGAGTACAGACATGAGTATGAAAGATGTCTTAGAAATTTGAAGAATTGTATTGACATAGATATAAGGACACGTGAAAATTGAAATTATGTTTTTCTTAAAGGAGAGGCAATGATTAATTGTTAACTTTTTAGTACAGACAGATTAGTCGATTTTGTTTTGCAGATGAGGATTCTTGGTCAAAACAGTTTATACAATGAATACTAGCGTAAATCTAATGCAGTAAGATGGCTAAATATTTGTCATTAATTTACGACTCTGCCTAACTGGCTCTAGTGTACCTGAAATATTGTTTGCCTTCTTGAAATCCCTGAAGATATTGGAAATATTTCAGAATACTATAAAATAGTTAAACATAAGAAAATTGATAGATTAGAAAGGTTCCACCGGTCAGCTTTTCTTGCTGGATTTCTGCGGCGTAAAAGCACCGCTCTGTTGCATCCGGACGCCTAGGAGAATCAGCGAAGGCTGTGGCCCAATGGAATTTGAACATCTGTAGTGCATTAGATACAGGACCGCTTTACTGAGTTGGGCTCACCAGAAGCGCCTTTGAATACCAAATAAAATCCGCGTAATGTGAACAAATACAAAAACAAAAGACAACCCAGTTGTTCTGGGGTGACTGCCACAAATGGCAAGTTTTAATTCCACTTTTGGGCAACTGAAGTTGGAGCAACATTTTTGAAAATCAGCCACTACGCTTCTATTCATCCAAAGCGACGGTTCTGACACCGGAATCTGCATGCAATTCAAATGATTCGCCGTAAAGCGTGAAGAAATAAACCGATCTAAGCTCTCATTAATACCTTCAAGAATATTGTGAATGCATTGAAACATTTTCATGGGCAATTTAGTTGATTGATAGCCGATGCCAATTCAGCATTAACAGCCAACCGCATCTTTCATGCAACTTTTGCCTATTTCTTTTAAACTCTGAGCCCTTCAAACACAGCGGACGAAGAATCTGATTTTGAATATCTTATGGAGGATACTGGACGTTGTCACATGACCAATTCATTGGTTTCTTCATGAATCATAGAATGGTGGCGGTGGATAAAAATCTTTTACTTGAATTATTTACAGAGTACAAACAGTTTTCAGTCACAGCTGCGACGGTTT